TGCAGCAATAAATGTGCACAAGATGACATTGGCATCACCCTGTTTGGCTGACTGATGGCTATGAACTTCTCTTGCACGAGACTTCCAACCCAGTCATTCGTCAGCTTGTGAGCATTATATAACAGAAAGAGTCTTACTAGTCTTCACGGAAGAAACACTTCGTTTCTGCAAAGCCCAAGAAAGCATTTCCAAGAAACCGAAGGCACATTTCTATCATTCTTCTTAAGGCTGAACAATACAGTCTCCTGGAACAAATAGCATCCTCCCCCCGCCAACCAGCAGAGGTTTTCAAATCACTAGAGCAAGGCTACCCAAAAAGCAGTAGGGAAAATGAAGCCAAACTCAAGACAGTAGAGTAGACCAGCTGCTAACATACCCTGTCTGGAGATTGCTTCAGGAGGCAAAACAAGACATGAGGAAAACTTAGCATGCTCAGATGCTGTTAATCTTTAGCTGGGCATCACAGCGCATGTGTTTGTGTGAATCTCTCTGCAATACAAAGTATAGAATTTACACACAGGTCCCGCTTTACAGAAGTCCGCCATGCGAAAATTCACTTACCCAGACATGAGCCAATTCATCTAATTCACAACTTCTACGGATTGAAACAAAGCCGTCTTTTGAAAATCACACTCCACCAGATTTTGGAATACAGTTCTCCAGCCAAGCAGAAAAATGCATGTTATTGGGTAAGTGTGCCTAAGAATGAATATATGAAAATAACATGCAAAAGTGCATACCAATTGGAAATTGCTTTGCCAAAATGTGTGCGAAATTGTGTATTGAATTATGTATATTATGAGAAAACTGCACTAACATGCTGATAAATTTTTATGAGGACTTTTTTTAAAAAAGGCAAAGTGAGATGGAAATGTGGAGACCTGCATTTAAGACTGGGAAATGAGAAACTTACAGAAACTGAAACGGACAGATTTGCCCATCCGTTCCTGGTGATTAATTTCCCTTCCCCCTTTTTCTCTTTAGCAACACATAAGTGGCCACTCAAGCCCCTGGCCCCTCGTTTCCTATGTGTTGGCAAGGCATTGCTCTGTTGCCCTGCCAATGAAGTATTTCGAAGAGGTCAAAACCGAAAGAGGGCAAAAGCTATAACATTCCAACAGATTTCTGCAGGGTGATTCATGCAGGCAAGGAGTGTGGAAAGTGGAAGAGAGTGGAAAGGAAGAGCAGGGTGGGAAATCTTAATGTTCACCACTAGACACCACCTCTCTTGCAGACGAGGGTGCAGTCCAGAGACCTTGTTTCACGAGGGCAGAATAGTGTTGAACTTCTGTTTCTTAAAAAGCAGGGTCTTCCCTTCCCCACATGCCCAACTGCTTTTGAAATGGCGGGGAACTTCAAGAGCAGTTTGTGATGCTGTGTGAGAGAGAGGAGGAGGAGGAGGAGGAGAAAGCTAGACAGAGTGTAAGAAAAATGTGACTTCCTGCTCGGAAAATCATCTGGGAGCACAGGGAATAATCATTCCCTAGCCAGAATTAAGATTGCCAGAAGAAATATCAACAACCTCAGATATGCAGATGACACAACCTTGATGGCAGAAAGTGAGGAGAAATTAAAGAACCTTTTATTGAGGGTGAAAGAGGAGAGTGCAAAATATGGTCTGAAGCTCAACATCAAAAAAACGAAGATCATGGCCACTGGGCCCATCACCTCCTGGCAAATAGAAGGGGAAGAAATTGAGGCAGTGAGAGATTTTACTTTCTTGGGCTCCATGATCACTGCAGATGGTGACAGCAGTCATGAAATTAAAAGACGCCTGCTCCTTGGGAAAAAAGCAATGGCAAATCTAGACAGCATCTTAAAAAGTAGAGACATCATCTTGCCAACAAAGGTCCGTATACCGGTAATTAAAGCTATGGTTTTCCCAGTAGTGATGTATGGAAGTGAAAGCTGGACCATAAAAAAGGCTGATCGCCGAAGAATTGATGCTTTTGAATTCTGGTGCTGGAACAGACTCTTGAGAGTCCCATGGACTGCAAGAAGATCAAACATATCCATTCTTAAGGAAATCAACCCTGAGTGCTCACTGGAAGGACAGATCATGAAGCTGAGGCTCCAGTACTTTGGCCACCTCATGAGAAGAGAAGACTCCCTGGAAAAGACCCTGATGTTGGGAAAGATTGAGGGCACAAGGAGAAGGGGACGACAGAGGACGAGATGGTTGGATAGTGTTCTCGAAGCTACTAGCATGAGTCTGACCAAACTGTGGGAGGCAGTGGAAGACAGGAGTGCCTGGTGTGCTCTGGTCCCTGGGGTCACAAAGAGTCGGACACGACTAAACGACTAAACAACAACAACAGCAGCCCACCCAAATGGAAGGAGTCAATAAACAGTGGGAAAGAGTAAGGGTGAATGGGAGCCAAGGAGTTTCATAAAGGGTGTGCGCAATCAATACCAATCCTTTCCACAAGGAAAACAGGACTGCAGGACAGGAAGAGTTGGTTCAATTGCTGCAACATGTGACAAGATAACATTAGATGACTTTGCCACATGAGAGCCAGGACATGTGTGTGTGTATCTGAAGAGGAGGAGGGTGGAATAGCTTTAACATAAAGTGGGGGGGAGGAAGGGACACCAACCCTATCCCAGAAAGCCCAACAAGTGCAGACATTTTTGTGCCCGTTTTCCTACCTGTAGCCAAATTCCAATGATTTTGGGGAAGTAAAATGTCCCGTGTCATGTCCAGAACTAGGGCACTTAAGTCTGCTTCCCTGGCTTAGCATTTAATTTTAAGAACCCCCGGGACAAATCTTCATCCCAATACTTTACACTGACTAGGAATAAAAAGGATATTTTATGTCGTGGACATTTGTTTGCTTTTTTTACAGACAGAAAACTGTAGTTGGAGCCAAACTACATGTGACCTTAGCCACGAAGTTCTTTCCTTGAGTGCAAGAGATTTTTCTGCCACCCTGTCTCCACAAATTGTCAATGTGGGGCCCCCTATTCCAGATTCGGACCCTAGTGTTTCGGGGGTGTATCTTTACAGCTGTATCAGGCCCCATTGAGCTTGCCATCTGAATTTTCAAAAATAAAAGTATGCCATTAATTTCAGGCTCCAAACTTGAATTCGGTTTCCCACATTTCCACATCCGTATGTGAGCTGTTTATTTATTCCTCTATTTATTAAAATGCCTCCTGGAAATTCATTTGCATTTTGGTGTGAATTTCTCCTAACGCAGATGTAGTGCTCGAGTTCTGAATCCTCTTTAGAATCTCTAACGGCTAATAAAAAGTGAACTGATAAAACTGCAGAAATGTAAACACTCTCCTTTGCCTTAGTAGCTGATGACGACTTGGAAGACAGCTTGATGCAAGCCAAGTATTTCATCACCCTGGTTACAAGCCACTGTTGAGACAGGGAGAGGGGAGAAGCAGCGATAAGTGCTGAAAGTCTTGTTCGTAAATCTGAACCCTTGGCAAAGAAGGTAATCCCAGATGTTTTTCTTTAAGATAAGATTCCCTTCACTTAACTTGGAGCGGGGGCGGGGAGCGGATATATTGCAATGCAAATTCTTGCGATTGAATTGCATCACGCAAATCTGACATCTGAAATGACAATATTTGTACACCAGACAGCGGACATTTCTAGCTATCAGTCTGCTTTGTCAGTGATCTTAAGATCTCCATATTTTTCAATGTTCATCTCCGGTGTGCAAGTCACAATTAGTCAAGACGTTCAACGCAATTTATAGAGATAATGTAGTCCTTTCCCACTACAAATGTTACTTGTTTATAAAAGATGCACAGTACCTGGAGCTGTGTCCTGATCCCATTGCTCACCAACCCCCCCCCCCCTTAGATCTCACCATTTCTCCCTTGACAAAAAACACCTCACCCCTTACAACTCACTCCAACCCTCTCCCACTGCATTTCACAAACTCCTACTCTTACCTCTTGCAAGAAACCTTGCCCTTAGGTTTCTGCTCTGCCCCCTGCTTATACTGCCAACCTCACACCAACAACACCACTTTGGCCTCAGCAGTGAGGAGGAGAGAAGCCGCAGGTGTAGGAAATGCCACAGCCTATTGTGGCTATTCGTTTACAGCTCACCTGGGCTGCCTGGCCATGTGCCTGCCTGCCTACATCTCTGACTTCCTCTCCCTCTTCCTTTCTGCATGCCAAGCAGATGAGCTATCTTTTTTTGCTACTGGTTGCCACATTTCTGCTTTAGTGCTATTGCTCCAAACCAGAGGTTTGTGGAATTCCTTGTAGGAGCATGTCCTGGTCAATAGGATCCTATGAGTGTACAGCTTGAGAGAAGGTCCATAGTTCAGGGATACAGTATCTGCTTTGCGTGTAGAAGGTCCCAGGGTCAACATCCAGCATCCCCAGGCATGGCTGGGAATGCCCCTTGTCTTGAACTCCAAAGAGCTTCTGCCAGTCAGTGTAGATCAGGCATGTCCAAAGTCCATTTTGGGGGCCTCAACAACTTTGGTCGGCCCTCACGCATGTTCACTTCATCAAATCCAGCCCTCTTTGGAAAAAAATTGAGCTAGATGGACCAAGGATCATCTACCAAAGTTCAAGATGATGTAGTCAAGAAAAGAATTAATTTCACACCACAGTGACTACCACAGTGGTATCTCTTTATCTCATACTGAACACAAGGAGAACTATGGTACTTCGACTTCATCGAAGTCCCAGGGAAGTAAAGTGATTGATGTTCCTCCTGGATTGATTCTGCTAGAACAGTGGTAGCCACTGTGGTCTCCTTCAGATACAGCTCCTATCATCCCTGACCTTTGGCTATGTTGGCTGGGTCTGTTGGGAGTTGTAGTCCAAACCATTTCTCCAGCTTAGTTAATGAATACTTGTGTTGAATTCTATTTGATTTTCTTCCACTTCATAAATATTTACAGTGTTTCCCAGATGTTGGCTTTCCACATAGATTACAATGATCTGGTGTGCATCTGGCACATTGATTCAGGATGCTGGATGCTGCAAATCAGAGAGTGACTGTGGCAATATCCATGTTGATTATTGTTCAACTAAACGTTCTGGCACTGTGGAAAGTCTCCCATCCATGTACTAGCCAGGCCTGATCCTGCTTAGCTTCCAAGATCAGATGAGATCAGGCGTGTTCAGGGTAGTAATGCCATACACTGGCACAGTGGTAGGTAATGTTCTTTGGAAGCCCTTTGTAGTTATTGCACAAGTGGTTTCTTTGCAAATCGATCTCACTAGGCCCAATGGAAAATTACTTGTCCACTGTGGCGATCACACAGGGCCCCTGGACGTTTCACGGTCTATTGACCCTGTGCCACCACTGCGGTTGCTTTCTTCGCTGCCACCACCCCGCTTCTCACGGGGACACACGGAGTCCAGACAGTTGTTAACATAAACAAATAATCAAGTTTATTTTTAAGTGCAGGAATAAGCGTATGGTTTTGGTTTATTTTTCTCTTGTCAGTTTCTTAAATCTTAGTTCCTACAACTTCAAACTGAATTATTCCCAACTATCTATCTAACTCCCTAACAATTCCTCTCACTCTCTCACAATACAACTCAACCAACCCACTGCGTATTCCACCCTCTTCCTTCTCCAACACCCAAACCGCTACTCCCAACTCCCAAACCTCAACTGACTTTTCAAAACCTCCCACTCTATCTTTTACTCCCCCCTTGCATTCTCACTGGTCAATCACATCACACCAATTTTAACCCTTTCCTTGACCCATCCTAGGAGGCAAACGCCACATCCACCAACCAAAGTTCAGCACATCACCTTTGAAGAAGACATTCCCAGTCCAGAACAGTGAAACTAGCAACATTTCCTTTGTATTCACTCAGCCTGCGGGAAAAGTTTGCAGCTGGCAGCTCCCAGCTGATTGCAAGCAGTGTGAACTAATTCTCCATCTCTCATGAGATGCTATCTTGGCTGATATAACACCTTGTCAGAGTGGAATGGCCAGCTGGATGAAAGCAGTTGTGAATGTAAGACTGAATGGAGGAGGGATCCTGGCCACCTTTGTGGAGGCAGTTATTAGACCTAAAGAAACTCCTTTGACCACATTTGGCTGCAATGACAGCTAACTAGTTACTGATCTCCATTTTCTGGCCAAGGTGCTCAAGTGGGAGGTGGTGGCCTGATGCCAAACATTCCAGGTTGACGCAGAAGATCTGGATTCATTTCAGTCCAGCTTCTGACCTGGTTTTGACTAGAGCTCTACGTAAATATAGCACATCGAACTTCTCTTACTGGAAGATTTCCTCTTGACATGAAGAGATGCTAGCCAAACTGAGAACTGAGTTTGGTGGCCATAGCATGTTGATTGATGGTTGTCATTTAAATTTTTATTATTTCCCATGAAAGAGAAAAAAGGCAAAGAAGAAAAAAGCAAACGAAGAATAAACAAAATTAAATAAAAAATATATAAACATAAGATTACACCTGTGTGTCTTCCCTCCACCTCAATTCGACATTCTTTATATGATAAAACCTTGTTATCACTGTGTCCTATACATGATGATTCATCCCAACCTAAGATTAATTTCCCCAGTTATTCTTTAGAGTCAACTTTACATACTTAGCTGACTGTTGTTGCTGTTGGAGAAGTAATGGAATGGAAAGGAATATCCTGGGAAAGGTTATGACTGGCTGGCTGGAAATCTGAACACGAAATCACTCCATATGGCAATCACTCCTTTTGCAGGGCTTTTGCATTCTGTTCCATACGTACAGCTGTTTTATGATTAAACTGTTGCAAGTGGTTTTTGGGGAGGGAACATACTTTTAGAATAAATATCTCTATAAATAAAGGCTTGACATTTAATCCACATTTATGTGTATTGTTTGCATTTTTACTTTTTTTATTTATGGAAGCCATAGAGAGAGAGGACAGAAAATCTATTCGGTTTGATTCATTAATCCAAAAGGGTGTGTTGCTTTTCATTTTCATAATTCAACAGGAATTTTAGTCCAATATCTTTATACATCATAAATACATAGCTCTCAGGAAAATAGCTGCAGCCATCACTTTCAGACTTTATAGCTCCAGAGGGCAAAACATAATTCCATTTGTGATAGACTTGCATCTCACACAAATACATCCTCATGAAGCTTGCTGGGTGTGATGCTGACCATTCAAAGTTAGTTCTATCACTCACAAAGTTTTATTCTAAACACAAATGAAAGCCACCTTTAAACAAAACATCTTAAACTCACATTTAATTGTCATTTGATTAACAGTTTCAAAGTAGTTCTATAGCAACAACAGTAACAATAAATACAAACAGTGCTATTTTTCTAGAGAAAGAGGTGCTGGAACTCGTTCTCTTAGAACAGCAATGGTGCCCACCTGAGAGGTGCTGGAACTGAGTTCTGGTGAGTTCCAGCTGGGGGGAAAGCCCTGGATACAAACATATTAACAACATTCTTCATCCTCAACCAGCATGGTCAATAGTCAGGGATGATAGGACCTGCAGTCTGGCAACATCTGGAGGGCTAAAGTAGTAGAAGAAATGTGAAAATATATTGTGTTGAACACAGATGTAGAAAGCCTTTGAAGCAAATAAGTGTTAGTTACTTAGTAACATTTTGTTCCTTCTGGAATGACTGCCATGTGCAAATTGAAATTCTAGTAGCCATGAACAGTGGAGCTTTCTCTCAGGCTTTGTATCCTAAAATGCTCCGTATATGTTACCTTGAAGTTGCTTCAGTGAGGCCCTCTAAAATTAAACCAGCTCTGAATGGTTACCTGTATTCAGATGGAAAAGCAAAGTCTAGGAACTAGGAAGAACTCATGAAGGCAGAGATGTGATCATGGTTCCACCTGCTGATGTGCTAAATACAACCCAGCACCTCGCAGGACAGAGTGAATCTCGAAGAAGATGGAGGGTCAGATGTAGAGAGTCCACATTTTTTACTTTGGGAAGTCAAGCCACGAGCTCTGTGGAAGGAAAGGGAGATAAGAATTTTAAGGATTCCGTAGTAACTCACCTCGTTTCCTCGAAAAGGTTGGCATTGAGAGAAGCCCAGCAGGGTTAGAAGGAGGAGGTAGAAACAGGGGTAACCAACATCGTTGTTCAGATGCTGCTGGGCCCCATCTCCCTTCAGCCCCAGTTGGCCCAGCCAATGGCCAAAGTTGATGGCAGTTGCAGTCCAACAACATATGGATGGCACTATGCTGGGTACCTAAGCTGGAAGGAGATGGCACAGGTATCTTGGTTGGGAGTTCTGCAGGGTGGCTAACCTTTTTGGCCAGCCCTTGGGAGGGGGAGTTCACATCCCAGCAGTGGGTGTGGCCCATGCCAAAGTTGGTGGGGTCTTGGGAAGGCCAGAAAAAAATGCTTCTGGGGAGCCAGGGTGTGTAGCCGCCCCTGATGAACAGTGAGAAGGGAGGGGGGAATTAATGACCTAAAAGGAGGAGAATTCTGGCCCAGAAATGGAAGCAAGAAGAAATACCGACGAAAGAAGAACGGCAGACGAAATTAATGGACTACGCAGAATTGGATAAAATGACAGGAAGGATTCGAAACCTGTGGGACCAGAGATTTGCAGAAGATTGGAAGAAATATACGAACTATTTGAAGAGCAACTGTAACCAACAAATTACGCTAGTAGGACTGCAAGAAGTTTTGTAAGGAGAAATATATGAAATATTGCAAAGAGGAGAAAGAGAGACATTAGTTATGATATTTAAATGTAATAGGGAAAGTAAAAAATGTAAATTAAGTGAAAAGATTGGAAAATTTTCAGATGTGATTGATGGAAGTCAAAAAAATTGTATAAGATATAAAAGTATGTTTAATAATTGTTGAAAATGATATGTTAAAAAACTAATAAAAATATACAGTGGTGCCTCAGGTTACATACGCTTCGGGTTACATATGCTTCAGGTTACATACGCTTCAGGTTAACCCAGAAATAGTGCTGCAGCTTAAGAACTTTGCTTCAGGATGAGAACAGAAATCGTGCTCCAGCGGCGTGGCGGCAGCAGGAGGCCCCATTAGCTAAAGTGGTGCTTCAGGTTAAGAACAGTTTCAGGTTAAGTACAGACCTCCGGAACGAATTAAATACTTAACCTGAGGTACACTATATATTTAAAAAATAAATAAAAGGAGGAGAATTCAGATATTAACTATTTCAACCCAGTCTTGTGAACTGAATTCAGAAAGGGCTGCCTAAAGTCAAGGGGCATGCTTAAAATGGCAGTGAGGCTAAACTCCTGGCTAAGCAGTGTAAGTATCCATTTCCTTGTAGTACATCCCATGCCAATAAGGTATGTGTGTATAAATATATCATCCACATGAGCCAGGGAAATCTCACAAGCCTTTCATACCCAGTTGTTGCCCAACCAAGAGGAAGTACTACAATTGGGCTGGAAACACACACACACACACACTGCCTGTATAGTTACTTTACTCATAGATTTGACCGGGGAGAGTTGCTCCCATACCAATAAATGTGAAAGTCACCACAATCTCTCTGCGTCCAGATTCTTCTCTTGTCCTATAATTGTACCAAAGTAGGTAAATCAGTCAGGTGCTCATTGGTTCTGTGCAATGCCACAATCTCCCTGCTTTCTGTGCTGTGAGCTTAGCTCAGCAGTACATCATCTAATTGCTCTAATGGCACCTTGGGGAGGGGAGGGGTTGCCGCCTGCCTCAGCCCCAACTATGCAGTATGGCTTGCCTGGTGAGGCTAGGAGAGAAACTTGATTCAGTTCACATTTAAAGGTGAACCTAACCCAATTCACACTTTCTGAAACAAGTTGCAAACCAAAACACAGCAGTCTTGCAAAATTCGCACTTCTCTGAATTTTTGCAGTGCCATTCTCCGGCTGAGTAATGTGTACAAAAATGCATTTGCAAGGGAAATGTGTGCATGTGAATGCATATACTAGTGCAAAAATGCATTGCACCAGGGAAAGCTTTTAAGTCCCATTTGAATAAATAACCACCTAGAATAGCTTCAAGTAACTTGTCTTGCTGATTTCAGCAGGACATACATGGCTGTGTGGATTGAAAAGGACAACTCTCTAACTTAGGAGACTTTGCAGCAGCTTGCATTAAGCCTCATCCTCCTGGCCTATTACCCTTCGTTTTCTAAATATATCTCGTGAGGAATTTGTACTTTGGAACCTGTCCTAACGCCATTCTTG